AAAGAACTTAATGCACCAAAAGAAACCAGAAAACAAATTCTGCAAAATCCATAAATTCATAGCTCATTATGAAATCTGAGTACTTAAAAAGTCTCCAGTGCTCATCGCTATCACTATCCAATGCATCATTTTTATCAAAACCAATCTTATTTTGTATTCATTTCCTAGAAGTAGCGAAGGCACTCAAAAGCAGCCTGAATGGCATTGTATCTGCTTACAGTAGTTATCCGCCCGCAAGGCTGTCGACGGGCGCACGCTTTCCAGCGTTGCTGATGATGATTTTAACTCCACGTCATGCACTAGTCCGAACTAATTTATCATCAACAGAAATGAATAAATCTTAAACTCAAACGCCTATCCTACACGAAGAGGCTAATTCCTAATTTTCTACGAGCAAGAATCAATGAATCATACAAAATTAATTTTCACATAGACTTGTAACGAGAGGTTCAGGCCTCACTACTATGGGTAAACAACATCGCATTTCTTCACAACCAGTACTGACAAAACAACTAAGTGTAAAATTCCGTGCGAAAGACGTAACTACTTTAGTTTTGCTGCTTTTTTATTTCAAAAAATCTGCGAAAATAATAGATAATAACATACTGTCGCACAAAATAGCTTACCGGAGGAAGTGAAACTGACAGCGACCGCTTCTTCTGTGGAATGGGAAAAATAATAGAACGATTTTCATGCAAAGAAGCTGGTAAGGCTTCTGCGAATTCCGGTGCGGGCTTTGCTAAGAGCTGAGGTAATTTCTGCAAAATAGCACCAATAATAATGCGAAAATTCTCCTGATTCGGTTCTTTGAAAAAATACTTAGGAATGACTCGAACAATAGCAATTTGCCCGAAATCATCAGCAAAAATTGCCTGTGGTGCAAATCAGTACCAAGCAAAGCTGCCCATGGTACATAGTGCCATTAACTACCCGAGAAGTAAAGTGGAAATGGTATAATTCCTTTAGCAATCTGGCAAAAACGACGGTAAGCATCGCCGACACGCTGACTATCAGCTGATACATCACTGACCAAAAGAACTGGAAAAATTGCTGGTTGCACAGATGAAGAAAGAGATCGAGAATTTCAGCAGCTTCAAACACTCCAAGTATAAAAATCCCAGATAAGCCAATAACAATTTGACATCAATGAAATCTGTTTTTTCAATGTAAATTTAAACGAACAAATTTGACCTTAAAGCAGAAAGTGCTTATCGGGACATTATGCCTGCCAAGTAAATTAGGCATGTTAATACCAAAGTTCTATTAAGATTCGATCAATTCACAGAACCATTTAAACAAAGACAGTACAGAAAAACCTGTTCAGTTCCAGATGGCTCTGGTTGCGTGCCCACTGGTTTATCGATACCTGATGAAGTATCCATTTTTTCAACATCATCCACTCGGCCACTACTTTTCGAAGGGCACGCCGAAAGATGCACAGAAGATGGCTGCGTTGGCCCATCACTGTAAAAAACAAATGACAATTATTTGTTGTAAAATGAACACTAAAAGTATCGTGTTCAATCAGCAAGCTAAATGTTTTATAAATCGGCCTAGAGAAGGCAGAACTGACTTCAATTCACCAATTTTTACAAGGTACAGTTTAGGTGATTCAAGGAGAGAAAGAGCCCAAATAAAATTAGACGCCTTTTTGAAATGTCATTATGCAGCTCAAAACCAAAATTCAAAAAGTCAAAATTTTAGATAAAACTCATACAGTGCGCATAGAGGACTTAAACCTAAATTTTTTGAATTTCATTGGGCAAACAGAGAGGGACTGCTAATGCAAAAGAACAATGCATTTTAGCGACACTGAAAAGTCATAAGTTGCGAAGAATTCTGAAAAGTTATACGTTGCGAAGAATTTTCAAAGTCAAAATTTCTCCATATATTCAATCCAGATAGAAGATAATAGGATTCGCAAGCGTTTCAAATGATAACAACTGTCAGCAGCAACTACCGCTAGCAAGGCTGTCTGTGAATCCTTCTATAAAGAACTGCTTAGAAATAAGCTGATGAGATTTCGACCCGCTGCCATTACCAAATGACCATCGAAAAGGATGGCTAAACACGAAACGAATGAAATACATCACTGGTAGCGTCGAGTGCTCAAACGAGGGAAGCGTTACCCGTCAAAATACCATGTCCATCAGCCGCCCAAAGTAACAAGCAGCTTTTTTGACTTGCCTCTTCGTCGACGGTCCTTCACTGGTAGCGGTAGCGACGGACGTTGGCTCAGCAGCTTCCGGAACAGTAACCGAAGCAACAAACGTTGGCTGGATTCTTCGCTTGCCAGATTTCGTACGTTCTTCAGTCTGCTTCGAAGGTGGTTTCGGCACTGCACGACGCGGCATTTCTTCGGTAACACAGCTATCTAGAAAAGAACCTAACCAGTGAAAAAGCAGACAATCTCATGGATCTATTTTGTGCGCAAGTAGATCAATTGGTCCATCCAAATAAGTCGATAAAAATGCTCACACTCTGCGCCACAACATGAATAACGCACTAATCGTAGAGCATAAAGAGAAGCTCAATTCTTTTCTTTCTCCATACAAAACAAATACTTTTATTGTCTTCACAATGCCCTGCCCTTGCAGTCCTCGCAAGTCTAATCCATCCTTGCTCTGTTTTATCAGGAAACAGACGAATCGCCGAGATAACTTGCAGATGCAAAGCCTGCACAACAGAACCATTTTTACGGTAGAACTTACAATTTCAAACTCACATTAAAGTCCACCCCGCAAAAATAGTTTGCATCAAATCACAGCCAAATACGTGGGTTTCATAATGAAACTTGATTCGAACTAAGCATGAAACCGATTAATTACACTGCCGTCATCCGATATGACAAAAACATAAATTTGTACAATTTTAACTAACTTATTTACAATTCAGCTCAAACAAAAAAAAAACCAAATTTTGACAGAAAAAACTGACAAAAAATGACCGACCGAGACCATTTCCTTCTTAAAATACCAAAAAATACCAAATCTGCCAGGATGACTGATGAGGATCCCAAGCAGTAATGTTGTTAGTATGCTTACAGAGTCTGCCCTCAACAGTGTTCAGCCCCACTAACTAAGTTGCGGTTAGTAGCTACCACTGATTCGGTGCATGCCATCTTGGCGAAAAGTAAAAAGTAAGATGAACCTGCAATTGAGGCTGCACCTATTGTAGTACTATTTGCAGAAGTTCGATCCACCAAATGAG